CATGAAAAAGGGAAAAAAAAAAAAAAAAAAAAAACGACAAATCATACATACCAAATAACATTAACTAGAAAGCCAAGAATAACCCAAGTGTTGTTTTAACTTTTAAGGGCATTTTACACCGTACCTGGCAACTTTGAGTTCTCAGTTTATTTTCAATGGGAGAGAGACGGAGAGAGACAGAAGGTAGCGCAGCTCATCAGCAAACAAAAAAAAAAAAAACATTACACTTTAAAAATTAGTTCCCACTAGCACAGGGCTGGGCAGCTTCGGTCCTGAAGGGCCACTGTCCTGCAGATTTGAGCTCCAACCCTAATCAAATGCACCTGAACAAGCTAATCAATGTCTTCAAGATCACTAGAAAGCTACAGGCAGGTGTGTTTGATTGGGGTTGGAGCTAAACTCTGCAGGACAGTGGCCCTCCAGGACCGAAGTTGCCCTGCACTATTAGTGGGTATTGCTGCATTGGAGTGAATCGCACCGCCTTGTATGGAAATACATGAGGCAAGATTGCTAGCCGCATTCCACATACTGTGCAAAATGAACCTCAACGGTTTAGTAATTGACAAACTTGGCAAAAGACATTTTGAAATTAAATAAAGTTACCAGACTTTCAAGCATCAAAGATAGCTACCAATGAAAAGTTGAGGCATGAACCGGCTTGTGAAGGTACATAGGCAGCAGTGTGATTGGATAAAATGCTGAGTGGAGAGTAATGGGTGTCCAATCATGCTGCTGGAGGGCCACAGTCCTGCAGAGTTCAGCTTCAAACCCATTTAAACACCTTAACCAGCTAATCAATGTCTTCTAGAAACTTAAATGTGTGGTGGCAGGCCAGAGCTAAACTCTGCAGGACACTGGCTACGTTTACATGCAACCAAATAATCTGTTTGTAATCGGATTGACGGCTCAACCGGACTGAAAAGCCTTCATGTAAACACCTTAATCGTGTTAACGTGAAATTTCGATCGGATTGAAGGGGGTGGTTTATTCCTTTTAAAATACGATTGAGAGTGCATGTAAATACTTGATCCGGTTGAACCCCGAAACTGAAAGGACTGCGCATGTGCAATGATGCAGAAATAGCATTATGACGTATGACGAGTGGAACGAACAGCTCTTCATTTTGAATAAAGTGTTGTATAAATGCATGTCCTGTCATTATAAAACTCTCCTTTCACTCTGCAACTGAAGTGGAGCAGGACAACCTCCCACCAGTCCTTGTTTTGGATTATCCACAGGCAACCCGTCCCACTAGCACAGGGCTGGGCAGCTTCGGTCCTGAAGGGCCACTGTCCTGCAGATTTGAGCTCCAACCCTAATCAAATGCACCTGAACAAGCTAATCAATGTCTTCAAGATCACTAGAAAGCTACAGGCAGGTGTGTTTGATTGGGGTTGGAGCTAAACTCTGCAGGACAGTGGCCCTCCAGGACCGAAGTTGCCCTGCACTATTAGTGGGTATTGCTGCATTGGAGTGAATCGCACCGCCTTGTATGGAAATACATGAGGCAAGATTGCTAGCCGCATTCCACATACTGTGCAAAATGAACCTCAACGGTTTAGTAATTGACAAACTTGGCAAAAGACATTTTGAAATTAAATAAAGTTACCAGACTTTCAAGCATCAAAGATAGCTACCAATGAAAAGTTGAGGCATGAACCGGCTTGTGAAGGTACATAGGCAGCAGTGTGATTGGATAAAATGCTGAGTGGAGAGTAATGGGTGTCCAATCATGCTGCTGGAGGGCCACAGTCCTGCAGAGTTCAGCTTCAAACCCATTTAAACACCTTAACCAGCTAATCAATGTCTTCTAGAAACTTAAATGTGTGGTGGCAGGCCAGAGCTAAACTCTGCAGGACACTGGCTACGTTTACATGCAACCAAATAATCTGTTTGTAATCGGATTGACGGCTCAACCGGACTGAAAAGCCTTCATGTAAACACCTTAATCGTGTTAACGTGAAATTTCGATCGGATTGAAGGGGGTGGTTTATTCCTTTTAAAATACGATTGAGAGTGCATGTAAATACTTGATCCGGTTGAACCCCGAAACTGAAAGGACTGCGCATGTGCAATGATGCAGAAATAGCATTATGACGTATGACGAGTGGAACGAACAGCTCTTCATTTTGAATAAAGTGTTGTATAAATGCATGTCCTGTCATTATAAAACTCTCCTTTCACTCTGCAACTGAAGTGGAGCAGGACAACCTCCCACCAGTCCTTGTTTTGGATTCTCATCCACAGGCAATCCGTTTTGGGCGCAGGGAGGGGCATTTTTAATGTGTGATAAATATGAGCAGCACGGCACAGCGGTTTATATGTAGGCCTATATTTATCCATAAATGGATAAATATCAATTCTGCTGTTAAAAACAAATAAAGAAACCGTGTAGGAAAGTGGTTATGTGCAAACAGTGAGAAACTCTGTAAAAAATATTTGTGCAGTGTGCGCATGTAAAAAAAAAAAAAAATCCATTCCGATTTGAAGCTTGACATATGCGCACATCAACTCGATCACTTTATTTAGCGTTCATGTAAACACTACATTCAGATACATCAATCGGAATGAATTCAGTCCAATTGAACCAAACATTGTGCATGTAAACGTACCCATTGTGTGATGGTATGATTGTACATTGTGAATTGGCTCTCCAGGAGCAAGATTGCACATGCACGACTTTCTCCACTCAGCACAGTGAAAACAAATCAATAAAAACATTGTGGGTATTACTAGCTTAGCCAGACTGCATTTGGCCAATTCAGAGTTAAATTAACAGACCACATTTTAGGAATAATCAATTTAGAAAGGGATTTTAACAGTGTTCACAAACACCACAAACTGTTAAGACACCTTGATATATTCTACTTAATAAAACAGTAAGATATGGCATTACATTGAACAAAACTATGCTATACAACTCAAATGGATCGATTTGCTATGAGTCTTGCCGCATGGCCAAGTAGATTGAATATCTAGAGTTTGGTGATTTAAAAGGTATAGTTCAGCACCCCCTCCCCAAAAAAACTACTCAACTTCAAGTGATTTTAAATCCGTATGTCTTTCTTCTGCAGAACACAAATGATACTTGTTAGGATCCAAGCAACACTGGAGCTTTTTGAGTTCCATTGTATGGAGAAGAGCCAAAATCTCAATATTTTGTTCTACAGAAGAACGAACATCATGTGATTTTAGAACCACATGTCCCTGAACCAATTTGGCTAAGGCGTATCTTGTTAGAAACAGTTATACCATGAAGACCAAAACTTACCATTGCAGAATATCACAAAGCAAGCTGATAGAGATAAGGAAAAATTACCTCCTGCAAAACAGTAGGAAAAATATCTACACTTGAGTGAGGGATTCAACATTAAAAAAATAAATAAATAAAATTTACTCACCCCAAGGTGACCAGAAGCAAAAAAAGCTGCTAACTCTTACAGCAACTGACTAAACCGGCCAACTGCCTAAAGCTGGCTATTTAAATGTTAGCTTATATGATGCATGCAAACTCATTGGCTGACAAATTACATGCCTATTAGCTCGTTTGCATAGTATGCAATATGATTGGTTGACAAATTGCAAGTAGAGGACCTATCAGCTTGCGCCATGACTGGCTAGAAGATTATCCATCCATTCCTTGTACCATGTGACTGAACTTGAAGTCATGAAATAAACAAAAGTATGTCCTAATGAAATTGTCACTAAGATAAACTCAAGAATTGAAAAGGAAAATTACAAACTCGAAAGCAGAAAATATGGTTCATTGTCATGAATCAGAATCAGAATATAAGCTAAAATATGACTTGGACATATTTTCAACAGGTTTTATGTGATTCACCCAAATGGCCTTTGATCTACATGTCTACATCTACTCTGCCTCTTAATGAGTATCATGAATAGTAAGAGGAAACTGCGATGTGATAGCAGGTTTTGTGATTGTCACTGCTTTTGTTTAGGTTAAGGACATTGTAAAACGGACTCCTATGGAAATTAAAATCCTGAGGTACCACATTGTGGCCTGCCGTGCCCTCCTCCCAGAAGACCTTATGCAGCCTCGTAACCTGACCACACTTACTGGTGACATCCTCACCATTACATACTCTGAGGTACAGTGTGCCTGATGCAAAGATAACATTATCACAACTCAGTATGATGACTGCATAAGATACATATTATGCATATTATTGAAACACTCATTATTTGTTTCTAGGATACTATATACATCAATAACAAAGCCAAAGTGGTGTTCAGTGATCTGGAAAGTAGCAATGGGATTTTCCATGAGATTGACACTGTTCTAGTGCCCCCTGGTTTTCAGATTCAGAAAGACAGAGAACAAGACAGCACACCAGTATGTCCCCACAGGATTATTCTGACAATATTCTTTATTTTATAATGTCAAGAGTAATAATAAAGCAGGAAATTATGAAATTACACTGATAGATTTTTTATTTTGTTTGTCATTGTCTTTTTTTTCTGAAAGCGTAATCTCTCAGATGTGGTCAGTTTCCATGGCTTCAAGACATTCTACAAGCTTCTAGAGGTAAAATAAGCAAAAATATGTTGTTGTTGTTGTTGTTTTCTTTTTTTTCTAATACAATTCCACAAAAAAAGTGTCTAGGGTTCAGGTTTTTTTGTGCCTTTTTTTCTTTTATTATATAAAATTAAAAGTGTTATTTTTTAGAGGAACCCTCTATTTTCTAATAAAATCCAAATCTTATATTACCTTGTTTGTTTAAAGGACACAGATACGTTGAAGTTGGTGATGGATCCAATTCATCAGCCTGTCACCCTGTTCCTGCCCACGGATGCTGCAATGGCCGCCCTGGCCCAAGAGCAAAAAGACTTCCTGTATGCGATGCATAACCGTGATCAGCTAGCTGAGTATCTTAGATACCACATCGTGCGTGACAGCAAGGTTGGTCTCTATCCAGTGTGTTAAATTTTGTGGCAAGGGCATGGCTGTATTAATCATTTGTGCTGCGTCTCAATGTGCCTACTTATACTACGCCCTTAAAGTATGTCCTCTTTTGGTGAAGAAACAGTACACTCTTTTGAGTGTATAGTAGAAGAGTAGGCAAGCTTTGGGACATACTATCACGTCACACAACTGCGTCTTTAACGGACGCTCTGTCGCATAGATACACACACCCGGTCACTGTAAACTGGCCTGTCAATCATCTTGTCACAGTTAACATCCTCCACATTGCATTTCATTTAACTTCCTACCATACTGGAGAGAAAAGAAGTAGCACATTGATCTGCCAGTCACGGGTCTTTCATGCTGAGAACTCTGCTCATATTTTATGCATAATGATGCATTTAAAAGTTAACGACCAAACGGATGTTTCTAAAAGTTTACATTGCTGTTGCAGATTAAATATAACACAGATAACATTAAATAAATATTTTTTACCAGGTTAAATGTTGAATATTAGTAACTCAAACTCTTTTTTCTAAGCCTCTCTACCTAACCGCCGGTCGTACACGTCCGCCATGTTTGTAGTTTTTAACGCGTTTTATTCATGTTTGTAGTTCTGGACAGAATCCTTCACCAAAGCGCAATGGATTGTGGGCAATATTAGCCATTAGAGTGTGCACGGATCCACACTTCAAAAATCGACCTGAAATAGTAGACCATCCGGGGACTTTTGGCATACTCTTTTCAACATACTATGCTTTGGGACACACTTATTCTAATCTCACATACTATTTAGGATGGATAGTATGAACATTGAGACGCAGGGCAAGACTAATATAGTATGACAGGAAATTCAGTGTTGACTCCCTAATGCATCATTTAAATGTATTGCAATTTATTGTGTCTACTAGCTCTTGCCCTCAGAGCTTATCCATGCCAGCTCTTTAAAGACTCAACAGGGCTCAGATCTGTCAGTGGCCTGCATGGGGGAAGAGCATATCGTGAGTACTTTTGGAGAAACAAAAAACATTTGCCTTGTGCATTCAAAAAGCTGTTTCTTTAATAACTATGCATCATATCATGCATATTTACCCCTCAGGGGGAGCTTTATGTGAACCATAAAAGCTGTTGGATTATAAAGAGAAACCTTGATTTCAATGGAGGAATGATTTATGGCATTGACTGTCTGCTTAATCCTCCAAGTGTCGGGGGGCGCTGTGACTATAAGCACACCATTGATTTCACTGTGAGTTCCAGCAAAGTATTTTCACTTATTACATCTACTTGTAGTACTTTGTACAATGTGTGTAGTATGTAGTGTGCAGTTTGCATCAATGCTAAGGTGATCAGATCAAATCAATGTACCTTTCTTCCTTTTGGTATCTTGAACATTTATTTTTTATAATTTTTTATTTTTTATTATAATTTTTTATTTTGGTATTTTTTTGTTGTTGCAATAGTTGGCTTGCAGGTATTGTGGTCGTGCTATTTTGGATTGCCCGCTTGGAAGCAAGCCAAAGGTACTTTTTATTTTCATTTGAAGCCAAACCTTACTTTATTATATTATGGAGAAAAATATAAAAAAATATGAAAATTTGCCATCTATGTAGTCTGCTCTTATTAGATACTGTGGGTTTATTGTAAAACACCTACTAAATAGTGGTGCATTTTTTCCCTCCATTTTATATATTTCCTATTCAAATAGGAAGTTGGAGCAGGACATACCAATAGCCCTTACTCCTTTTATCACAGCTGTGAACCATGATTTGATGTTATAAAAGATTTCTACATCAAGTAAATACTGCTCATTTGAACTTTCTTTTCATGAAAGGATCCTGAAAAAAATGGATCATGGTTTACACAAAAATAATTAAAAAAATGTTTCTCGAAAACAAAATCAGCATATTAGAGTGATTTCTTAAGAATTATGCGACACTGAAGACTGAAAAAAATCAGCTTGGTCATCACAGTAATAAATTACATATAAAAATATATATTAAAATAGAAAGCAGTTTATTTTTATTGTAATATATTATTTTATTTTTACTGTATTTTTCATCAAATAAATGTAGCCTTTGTGAGCATAAGAGACTTCTTCAAAACATAAACATCTGACCAATACCAAACTTTACATTGACTCTTTTGTGTGTGTGTGTCTACTTGTAGGAGTAAATTGGCATAACAGCTATGTACTAAAAGCCTCATTTAAATCTAGTTAATTGGATACTGTATTAAAGAAAGAACACTAATTCAATTGTGTTTTCAATCTAGTCAGAACAAAAGTGTGTCCGTCCGAATTCACTGCTGTCTAGGGATTCAGGATGTCAATCAACATGTACAGTGGTCATATGGAAGCCCAAGTGCTGTTCCGGGTACTACGGCAGGGACTGTCTTGGTAAGCAGTGTCTTACTATTCACAGTAAACTGTTGACATAGACGAGCTATGCTGGTTCAATATAATACAACGGCTACAACAAGGCTACACACCCCTTTTGATATGTAAAAAAAAAACATTAGCCATTCATTTGTTACATCTCAAAAACCTGCCATTTTAACAAGGGTATGTAGACTTTTTATGGCCACCGTATGTAGAAAAACAGTTATAAGTTGATAAGAACATTTCCTGTTCTCCAGCATGTCCTGGGGGTCCAGGATCCCCTTGCCGTGACCATGGTAAGTGTGACGAGGATCATCTAGGCAATGGCACATGCACTTGTGATGCTGGATTCACAGGTGTAGCCTGTGAGCTGTGTGTGGATGGCCATTTTGGACCTGATTGCAAAGGTGAGACTTTTCAAAATAAATTTCAATTGATTAAATATAATAAATTATATATATAATATATAATTATAAACTTAGTTTGTGTCCTCTTCCTAAGCCTGCAACTGCACAGAACATGGATCGTGTGATGAGGGTCCTAAAGGTACCGGTTCGTGTTTTTGTGAAGAGGGCTGGACTGGTCTGCGATGTGAGAACAAACTAGGTACAGACCTTCTGGTTATTCTTTTGTTTTTGGGTTATATACCATACTAGAAAAAGACAAGCATTGCTTTATACCTGCAAGCCAATTTCACCCTGTGTTTCTGACGTTTCAGCCGATGGTCTTGTTTGCAATCCGGCTTGCCATGAGAAGGGCGTCTGCATGGAGAACAACACCTGTGTCTGTAAACCCTTCTATGAAGGAGACGGTATCACCTGCACAGGTACATGCATGAAGATCTCAATAGCAAAGTGATGACAAAACAAAAGTAGAAACAGTCTACTCACTCTTACCTCTTATGTAGCGGCCAATATGTGCAAGTACTGGAATGGCGGCTGTTCTAAGGATGCTCAGTGTAGTCAGAAGGGGGAGAAGGTGAGCTGCATGTGTCTCAAAGGTTTCTCTGGCGATGGCTTTGTGTGCACACCGGTTGACCCCTGTGCTGATGGTGAAAACAGCGGGTGTCACGAACACGCTACCTGCACCATGACCGGAGCTGTAAGCAGAACCTTCTCTTTCGTTATAGCTCTTTTAACAGAATGTGATCTTTATACAGATACATAAATCTTAACACATCCATAAACAGATGTAATGTGCATCTGTCACCAGGGAAAGAGGAAGTGTGAGTGTAAAGACAACTATATTGGCGATGGGATTGATTGTGAAGCAAAGCAGCTGCCAGTCAATCGCTGTCTACAAGATAATGGACAGTGCCATTCAGATGCTCAGTGCACAGACTTGCACTATGAGGGTATGTATTTTTTATATGCACTAGTGTTATAGCTAAAAATAAAAAAAAAAGTGGTATTATGACATGTGCTGGAGATGTTTGAAATGCTTTTTGCATAGTTCCTTATACTTATTTTACAGGATGAAGTTTATTTCATGCCTTAAATTACATGTTGCTCAGAGACTGACATGTTTGGCTTGTTGTTACAATCAGCTTTTGCATATTTGTTGAATTTTGAAAATCAAAGAAAAGAGTGGTTTTGATGCACAAAGTTGTTTTTATATTTATAAAATATTTATACAATATTATAATAAAAATATATACAATATTTATTGTCTCTTATAACAAAAATATTTTATTTAAACCAATGAAAATGAAGATCCTGTTAAATA